ATTTGAAGTGCTAAGTGCACACCTAGGTGCTCACCAATATAAACAGTGATTTAAAAAGCGTTTGGCACCAAAAGGCGTCGAGGTCCAAAAACACCTGAGGCGCTAGGCGCTCGCCTGAGCGAAGCGAGACGCTAAAATATAAAAATATATAATATAATTAATTAATATAATTATTTAAATAAAAATATAATATTAAATTAAAAAATCTAACAAAATCATAATATCACATTAAAAAAATCATAAAAATTCAAAACAATAACAATAATTTCAAATAAATAAAAATTAGTAATATTAAAATCAAAATAATATATTATTAATCTAATAAATAAAAAAATATTGTTACTAGTTTACTGTTAACAGTATACTATCGAGTCGATGTGAGAAGAGGTAACAACGAGCAATGCCAGCGGGAGCGAGAGAGGCGAGCGGTGACAATGGCAACGGTAGCAGTGAGAAGCGATAGTAAGAGCGGGAGCGGCGAGCGACGATAGTGGCAGCGGCAATGGCAGTAGTAGCAGCGAGCAGCGAAAGCGAGAGTGACAAGCGGTGATAGTGGCAGCGGTAGCGGCGAGCAGCGGTAGCGGCAGTGACAGCGGGAACGGGAGTGGCAGCGGTAGTGGTAGCGGCAGTGACAGCGGGAACGGGAGTGGCGAGCAGCGATAGTCGCAGTGGTAGTAGCGAGCACTGGGAGTGACGACAATGGCAGCGGTAGCAGTGGCAACAGGAGTGGCGACAGTGGCAGCGGTAGCAATGAGCAACGGCAGTGGGAGCGACAGCGACGATTGAACCAACTAAAGCACCGAAGACCGAACCAGACCTAAAACGCTGGTTTGGTCACCTAGTTTAACCCGAGCGCTCGCTCGAAGCGCCCGACGCTTGGGCTCGGACGAGCGCCCAAGCGACGCCTCTTTAAAGCGCGCCGCCTGGAAATGAAGCGAGGCGCTCGGGCCTCGCCTCGCCCAAGCGCCTATTGAAATCACTGAATATAAACATTATAAAAAATATAATTAAGGAGAAAGGCAATAATCAAGATAAAAATTAGATAAAATATGAATTTCATATCATTTCATAATCAAAGTATCACTAATAAAACATTGAACAACATTCATTTAAACATCTATACAACATTAAATTATTCAATTATCCAAATATAGTAAAAAAAAAGAAAATTAACATCAAAAGTCCAATAAACCTAGCTTGACAAATTCAATACATAACACATTTCATAAACTAGTATTAACAATAATTAACTATTATTAATTAGTAACAATCATTTGGTGGGAGAGGTGAGCTGGCTTACAATAGGAGAAGAGAAAGAAGAAGCAAAGAGAGAGAGAGAGAGAAGGAGGTCGAGGGAAGAGAGAGCAAGAAGGGGGTTGTGCCACTGACCGTCGAAGCTATTGAGTGCCATCGGGAGAGGGAGGAGGCGATGAGTGAGAGAGATCCATGATAGGGATGCATCGTCGTAGGCGGTGGAGGAGAGAACACAATAAGGGGCATGAGAATTGGCACCACTGGAGAGCGAGAGGGATGGAGAAATGCAGCGTGAAGGAGAGAGAGAGGAAAAATAATAAGGTACCTCCATCTTCAAGAAGGGAGGTCCGCTGGAGAGCCACTCGCCTTATGCACGATGGTCATCGACTTGCACATGCATTGGAAGCTGAGATCCGACTGCCTTACGTGTGCATGAAGATGTGGATTAGGTTAAAGGGCGGGAGGGGGGCAGGTGGAGTGTGTAATGGCTTATCTGGCTTGGTTGAACCAAATCAATCAATTTGGGCCAGGCAAGTGCCTCGGCCCAAGTGCATGCCTAAGTGACGGTCAATTAAAGGCACTCGCCTGAACCCGAATTGAGGCATTTGGGCCTCGCCTGACCTCACACGAGGGCCTAGCTGAGTGCCCGAACGATATCATTGAATGATAATATCATACCAGTCCATCGAATCATGTAAGACTAGTCAAACTTATGTTAACAAGAGATAGCTATAGATCTAAATTAAAAATTAGTAGATATATTTTCCTTCACTTTTAGCTATTCAAAATTCAGGAGCATTTTTAGTTCAACAATTCTTTATAGATAAGTTGCACTAGTTAGCACTACATAACAAATCACTGGAGGGCAAAACTAAATGAATCTTCAATCATCAATTTCTCACCATATTCAATCTAAAATTTTGTACATGTTAATTTATGGTCCAGATCTGGATATAGTAGATAACTAATATTATTACCTCTTTTCACTCTTCTTTCTTATTTGATGGGGCTAATATCCTTGTTTGATACCCTCAAGTAGAGGTTTGATATAGTGGCACACAAGAAACTAAGTTGACATAGAATTTCCTATCAATCTTAAAAAATAAACTTCATGCCAAACTCCATCAAGCAGTTAATGTAAATATCTTTGATGGTTTGCAGTTAGCAACCCTTACAAGCATAATAAGTTTCATGACATAAAACCCATACCGGTTAGGATCACCTCCATAGTCAACAATATTGTTGCATATAAATGAGATCCCTTGGGAGGCATCTTTTATCATATCACTTATTGTCCCTTGAGGAAAGTTTCTACAAAATGAAAACCTCAAGCTTGAATGAAACATAATATGGTGCCATCAGGATCAAGCTGCATATATCATCTCAAATGTAGAACTACAGTTTATCTTTGAAGAGCCTCAACGTTACCTGTAGTCTATGCATGCAACTATAACATCCCTTTCTGCTAAACGTCTCCCTAGCAGAGCACCCCATGCTTTATAGCTGAAGAAAGAAAAGATGATACCTATTAAATAGTTAGCAATGTATCAGAAATTATGTTACAAAATTTCCCGTGCTATGTCATTCTCAACCATGTGTAACTCCACTCACCCAATGATCCAGGCCCCACCAGTTACAAATGCCACAACTGGCTTAGGTGTGCTGCCATTAATAGGCAAATACAGATCCAAGCTGCAGAACGAAAGCCCTTTAGTTCAGAAGAAATGAGAAGAAGAAATACATGTTAGAGAGGAACACAGTTTGCAATTGTCTACCGATTTCTTGGTTGTTCTCCATAAATTACACTTCTGCGCACCTGATTCGAGAAAAAATAGTAATATCCGACTGTAGGGAAAGAAGAGGCATTATTAATTGTATAGACCAACATATGAACACTATCAAGTAAATTAGTAACAAACTTGTAACTTGTGCATGAAAAGAAATGTAAAAGATGGTCATACAAATATCTCATGCATCAAGTGAATTTCAGAGCAAGGTTTAGTAAGAAGAGCACCTTGTATAAAACCTGGCATAAGTAAGAGAGCATAAAAGCCGAGGGCAAGAAACTTTGTAATCCACCGAGAACCAACCCTGAACAAATTTGAATAGATACTGACTATAAAATTCCAGCTGGAATTCAATTAAAAAATTTGATGGAAGAAGAGAAGTAGAGCAGATATTTTGTATAAAAAGAAATAGTAGACAAATAATTTGAAATTTTAAGCAACTGTAAAAGAATGAACCCTTGGATGTTTGCAACCAACCAAATATAGGCTTCAGGTTTTGCAAAACAACACATTACCATGGAGAATCACCAAATGTTTAAATTTTAAAATGTTAAGCTTAATCAAGAAACTTACTGACTATATCTATATAAGATTTTTAGGGTGCTACTAAAATGCAGATTAATTAGCGAAGCTGTTCTTTCATCTGCCTCCAATATGAATAGAAGCTGTTGTAATAAGGTTTCGTCATTTACTAGAAAACTCAGCCTTTTTTTGGCGATGAGACTCTGCTAATGCTCATGTGTCCATCATCAAGTAGCATAAATCATAATAACAGATGAAACCTATATATTGCAGTTCATGGTTACACTAGTAGGTTGTTTGGGCACTCCAAATAATATGCCATCAAATTAGAGTGAATATATACAACATTATGTTGCACCATTCCATTATAAATCTGTTTAATCCATTGATTTCAAGAAGGAAATTCTAACCCTAGAATCTGGCATTTCCCATCAGGTAATCATGAAAGGGTGAGGCAAATTAGCGTACAAAAAATAAGAACAGGATCCATCTAAGTTAATAATGTCTTACCAGTCGACCTCCAAGCACTACATGGTTTAAGAAAGCAGAAAATTACTGAGATCCATACATCACGTCCTTATAAATCGGTTAGTTTATACTTTACAGAACAAACATTTAGGGTCTCGGGCCTATTAAATTTACGGGTCAATTTTCTTGGATAGGACTAAAGGCACATTATGGGATGAGCCCACGAATAAAAAATTCAAACAAAAAATCTCACTAATGAAATCCCAAAATTTGTACCCGAGGTATCGGAGGAGGATGAGGGTGAGCCGAGTAATGAGGTAGGTTTCCGCAGCGGCGTGACCCATTTCTTGCCGGAAGGACGGGCGGCGAGATGGAGAGCCCAGCGGGGTTTCACCGGCCGTCCTCCTCCTCCGGCTGCCGGAGGAGCTGCGGCGGAGGAATGGCCTTTCCAGATCCATCTCCTCCGCAGCTCCGGCACCGTCTCCATTCGTGGCGGGACGATCGATCTCCATCGCCGACGGCCGAATGAGAGAGAGTCGGTTTGAAGAAGTTGAGAAGGCCAAAGAAAGCCGGGCCTTTCCTTTGCTTCGACGCATGACATTTATTGCCCGTATGCAATGATACGTATTACGAATATAGGCAACGTGGCATGGTACGAATGTCCGAATATATAAAATTTTGATCCAACAATAATATTTATCAGATTCACTGGTCAAGAATTTGAGAATTTTATGTGATAAATATTTAAAAAAATTATCTATTAATATAAAGATTCTTATAATTAAGTCTTACCGACCAAACAGACAGACGGGTAAGACAGTTGTCTTGGGTGGAAAAGCAAAAGCTGACACTCCCCTGACACGTGTCGACGATAGACGATGGATGGATGGATGGATGGATGGATGGATGATTGAAAGCTGATATGTAGAATTAATCAAATATTTTTTTATAAGGAAAAAAAAACTTAAATAAGGATAACATATTTAAGGCTTAATTGAGTACATCAGACACGATCTTTAAGTCATATTATTAGCAAACACCAAGAAAATAGATATTGGAATCCATCGAGTAGGCAGGCTGTAATTTCTTGCCTAAATACAAAAACAAATTTGTGCTTGGAACACCTTTCACTCTGTTGAATTCAGAAATCATACAACCAGTTTGCCGGAGGTCAGCTGCGGCATGAAAGCTCAGGCGATTCTTATAACGCTGTCCGTCCTGCCAGCAAGAATCATGGAGATCTGCAGACCACGACTAAATGCCTGGTTGAACAGCAAGCGAGTCTGGAACTCGGAAACGAAGGGGAACCACGACAGGACAACGATCGGCACAAAGATTAAGAGTCCCATTACGTACTCGTATGCTCTCCCCAGCTCCTTGATGGAATCCCAGAATCCCGTCTTCTTAAAAAGAGGTCTGCATGCTTGCCCAATCTTGGCAAGTGACGAGGACAACAATGGCTGAGCATTAGGCACGAACATACTCATATCTGATGGGTGAAAAATGGAACAGGAACGCATGCACTCACCAAAAGGAGAAACCAGCCGGTTGGCATGAAGCCCAGCAATGCAGCAAAGACATCTGATATCGTCAGCCCACAGACGATGAATAACACGGTCATGACCGATACAAACCCGAGGAAGAGAAGACCTTTGAGGATGCGGAACATAAGTTGGAAATCAGTACCAAACCGTCGCCTCCCCATGGAAACCATCTGAACAGACAAAAGGCATGCCAGAATTAAGACAGCAAACTATGAAAAAATTACGGGCTTTCTGCATGCAGTGAAAAATAACTAGCTAACTAGGAGTGAATGTTATCATGCTCAGATCTTTTTCTTTGCTCGACATGCTATGAGTGAATGTTATCATGTTCAGATCTTTTTCTTTGCTCGACACAACAGATCATGAAATTAGTCATGCGATCATCAATCCTCATGTGTTTAGTGGATACCTTCAGAGCTGCTAGCACAGTCAACATCACCAGCCATGACAGTCCATAAACCTAGGAGAGAATGTTGGAGGATTAGAATGGTTGTAAAAGTAGTTCTCAGAACAGAACTAGTCAAGTTTATAACATGAAACGAATGATACCAGCACGCTTTTGCTGTGATGAGCTATATTAAGGTGGTAAACAATTCCATACTGGAAGAGCAAGAAGCGTAGAGCCAGGATGATCTCGAGAACGCGGCCACGTATACTGGTGTGCTTCAAATGCTCATGTTCACTCTCCCACCATGATTCCCAACTACTATCTATTGGAATACCAATCCCTCCACGGTTTCCCATCCATTTTTTCCAGTCTGTCCAATCGTCAACTGTCTTCTGCCAATCAAATCCAGAAGGATTGAATACAAAAGGTGCAAATAACCATGAAGCCACCAAAAACCACATAGAAAACGTGACGAACAGGTATAAAGTTGAGCTTCGATATGAATATCCATATACTTCATAGACAACCAACAGTATCAACAGTTCCAATCCTTTAACAAAATGGCTGCGGGAGTACATCCGGTAGTTATCAGCAAACTTTGCATGAAATACCACAAAACCACGACCTGTAGCTCTATATTTTGCACCTCCATGCAGTATTGTCCTCCCATAATAATGGGCTTTAGTTCCAAGCTGGAAGGTAAAGAAAACGGGGGCCAGTTGCAGCTGCATTAATATAAATTCACCAATAGCTGTCCGAAATCCCTTCTCTAAACCAACTTCCATTACCATCGGCAGTACCAGTAACAAGCCCAGTTGAAAGACCGATTGTGAAGCAAGAGCATTTTCAAGAGGCTTGCTATTTTGCTGAATGCGTGGATCCTCCAAAATTGACCTTTCTAAACCACTCATAACTAAATATAGCCGCCCATATAGGAACACATAGACAGTAAGTACAGTTACCTGAAATATAAGTGAAGGTATCATGTCATAATATCTCACAACAAACAGGAAGACAATTTTAGCAACCAAACTGAAGAACATAGGAAAGGTGAGTTCACTGTGGTTTAACATATTCCCTTGAATATTCATTTAGTATTTGAACCGAGACATACATAAAAAGGACTCTACCTGTCATCATGTTCCCTACATGTTTGTGCTCCAGATAACGTAACCTACTAAAAGTATAGAAAAGAACCTACTTCAAATTTCAAAAATCAACACTCACACTAAGATTTTGATTCCAATAATATAGTAGCAGGGGTAAGTATTATATTAGCCATAGATTTGATAGGAAAATAGCATCAAACGAACAGGCACATGATGATGCTTCGGATCATGCTCGAAAGATAGATGAGAACCGTCATCATTGGCAGTGCATTTATTGTGACTACATCGGCAAAGGTGGAGGAATCATCCAGGTAAAGATACATTTGGTCAGCGAGTATCCCAATGATGCAAAATGCAAGAAGGTTCCGATGGCGGTCCGTAAATTATTTTAAGAAAAATTACAACAGGCAAGGAAAGATACAATTAAAAACAAGACAAAAGCTGAGAACACATACTATAGGGCTACATAGGAACCGGTTTCTTAGTTAAACTTTAACTAATAAATCATTCCACGAGACAGGTCTTTGATTATGCTACACAATCATTAGTGTTAAAAGCCATCTCTTACTTGTAAATTACTACCCACAGAAAATTCATATATCTTGGGCAGGCATGGATATGTGCCTAGGTACCACCTTTAGTAATTATTGACGTATAATTGTTTTCCAAAAACATCGAAAAAAAGCCTCTTTCAACCTTCAATAGCAGTCTATCATAATATGAAGGAAGAAATATCTAAGGAATGAGTTGAGACCAAGCAATAAATATTACAAATACATAAATCATAGAGTAGATTGAAGTTAGAGTATTAGACCTTAGAAGTATGTTTTTGGTCCGAGTCAAATAATGTTTCGTAATTCGAAAGTATCTTCATTTTCTTGTACTTATTCTTATTAACTACTCCAACGAGTATCTTGAGTTGTACCTCATTATGAGTCCAGTTTAAAATATATTTGGTTCAAGACACCTATTTGGTAACTAGGAACAATATTCGGATCATTTTCGCGTCTGTTTAAATAGGATGTCGAGGGATACAATTTTTAATATTTTTAAAGAGCTTTCTGATGAAGCTTATATAAAATTTCATAGAGATTGAAGGTGATTAGAAGAATGAATTTTCTTCTCAAGAGATGTAAAGCCACAACTTAAAAGGGACTAGAACTTGAGGTATAATGTCCATGAACCAATGTGATTCCAAATATTTTCTTCTCATGTCCCTATATCTGCTCTTCTCTTTCCTTCTTCCTTATCTCTCTAGTTTCTTACTTCTACATTCTAAAAAATCCAATCCAAAATCCAGTTTGTCATACTGATCGATCAACCCTCTGATGCGCTTCAGATATCTACAGGACACATATTAATGACAATCATGACCAGGTTTTTCAAGAGCACATCAAGCCATAACCAAGGTTTCTGGGCGGCGAGCAGCGGCAACATAACATTGTACAAGGCAAGATTTTGATATGAAGCCATTTTTTATTTCTTTGCTAGTGCCAATTGGTACTGACACTTACCGGCTTAAACTACTGCTCTAAGCTGGTTCCTTTATGAATATTGGTTTTGGAAGTATAAACTATATCTACCCTTGTGTTCGCAATTCATCTGACATAACTAGTGCAATGTTCGTCACCCATTACCGAGCAAGATAAAGAAGAAGAGTAAAAGGAAACCAGAAATAGAGAGTAACCTTGACCTCTAAACGAAATATCACAGGAAAGGATGACGTCATGGGATTCGAGCACCTGTGGAACCTTTGTTGGGAGAAAATACTTTCTGTATTTGTCCTTGCATTACCTATGACTTTGCTTGCATGGTGATTAAAGCACTAGAACCACAATGAAAACTTTTGCTATTTTCTAAGCTATAAATAGAAAAGTTTTAAGCCTTTTTATATGACATATAT